ATAAACTAATCCTTAAAGACTTACCTTAATGTTAAACAATTCGTACAGCAACTCCTCTACCGCCTTAACCTTTTCGCCATTTTCATCTACTCCGGGTTCTTCATAAATATCCACACTTTTTTCCGACTCCGCCTCATCTTCTGACTGTAAACAAAGACGACACAATTGTTGTTTTGTCACCTTGTTAGATAATTGTTGGGCAGATTGTTCATCTAATTCTGGTGGTGGTTTTGTTGACTCCACACTATCTAAATCGACCATATTTTTATGATTGCGTACTAATTTTATAATTTATTTAAATAATCTTGTATTTTTTTCTTTTATATTTTGTAAAAATTCTATGAAATGTGCCATATTTTTTCACACACAGTTGTTAAAATGTGTTTCAAATTCTTGTTAGTTTAACAGAGCTGTATTTTAAAGGTATTCTAATGGCGTTGCCAATTTGAACGAGGGTTTGTTATGAAATGATGATATAAAATTATTTTATTTATTTTAAAAGAAGAAAAATACTGAAATTCGAATGGTAGTGGAATTGGAAACAGCAAATATGATAGCAAGAGTCAACAAATTGCATGTTTTCGGTTGGAGCGTCTTGTCCAGCTCTCCCTATCACCCACAGACAGAAATAATAAAATACTTTCTTATTATAATTTCAGAAAAGAACGACCACAGTTGAAATATTACAAAAACAACAAAATGCTTATTGTTTTTGTAAATGTTTACTTTTCGCAGCTTTTGGTCATAGGATATTCTGGGTTAGGTTATGTTCTCCATCGCTTGAATCCAGAAAATCGCTTTTAGGAGAGTACCTAAATAGAGAAAACACGGAAAGGGAAATAATGGATGATCGATTATGTACTACCTATATCTGGTTCATCTAGAATGTTTCCATCTGGAATAACATTGTCGCAAAACTCATACATGTTTCGTCATCTCATTTAATTTAATAGAAACTTGACTTTTACTACAAATTAGGATATAAATATTTGATATCCGGTATAGACGGCTTTCCAGTAAACGTAGCTTAAACTATTTTTTGGTAAAAATTTAATTCTTTACAAAAAAAAAAAACACATTTTTTAGTAATTGGTTCTTTTCAAAAATAGGATTTTACTGGATACTTAAGAGCATAACTTGACTTACTCCCGTATTCAATAGGAGTTTGTCTCATAAGGAGTTAAAAACATAAAATTTTAACCCCCTTATTCATAAACACAATTTTAGTTTATAAACGATTTATAAATCAAATTTCGTATGGAAATTTAGTTTTATAAACCTTTTATAAAATAAAATGTTGTTTATGAATAAGGGAGTAAATATATAAATTCCGAAATATTATAGAAAAAGTTGAACATCAAGAGGTATTTACGATTGCATTATAATTTGCCCTTAGTAATATTCCATATACAGCCTTCGACATCACTCTTTACTTGTCATCTATAGAACATTTTGTAGCGGATGTGGCGGCTAGGAATTTACTAAGACTCTATGAGTTTTCGTCAGTTAAACTATCGCGATACAATTACGCAAATATTCTGTACGAAGTAGTTCTACTTGATCATGGTAACTACCCTTGTGGGATTACATATGTATCATAAAATTATGACTCTAGACTTCGAGGATTTTAATGAAATTTTCAACTAGGGAAGATTAACTTGTATCCGATAGATTTTTTATGTGTGTGCAGTTACAACCAACGAGTGCAAGATGGATATCGGCACGGGTGTCGGTCTATATCGCTGACGCCGATATAAGTAGGTCCTTTTTACTCCCTGACATATGTAGTGTCTTCCAGAGATCCTAAAGATCTTTCGCGCCTAGTTTTAGATTGTACAAAATGCTCTTAGGGACATTACTAAGCACTGCAATGGTTATGAGGTTGCTGGCGAACTAGATAATTAGGTTTGAACCTTTTCGTGGATGATAGGAATATAATAGTGAAAGCATCTACATATGTATATGTTACTATTATATGTTGATAGCTAGCTAGATAGATAGATAGATAGATAGATAGATAGATAGATAGATAGATAGATAGATAGATATAGATAGATAGATAGATAGATAGATAGATAGATAGATAGATAGATAGATAGATAGATAGATAGATAGATAGATAGATAGATAGATAGATAGATAGATAGATAGATAGATAAATAGATAGATAGATAGATAGATAGATAGATAGATAGATAGATAGATAGATAGATAGATAGATAGATAGATATAAAAGCTTCAAACATTCACAAATTCGTTGTTTATGAAGCAAATGGCACAAAATTTAGCATAAGTCAGTTTTTTGACCTCCGAAATAAAATTCTGAATTATCTCGGACATAGAACCACAATTGGCACTACCCCCCACATAAGGTCCCCTTTTGAAAATTACTATAATTCTGATTAGTGGCTTAAACATACGAATATAGTGACGAAATTTGCTAAACATGGGTTTTTGCAACCAATATCTCTCCACCAAACTATATGTGGATCGGTCCATAATTGACCCTACCCCCCATATAAGGTCCCCTTCAGAAAATGACATTAACGGTCATTATTGGCGTAAAAATAAGAGTATAGCGATGAAATTTGACACAAGTAAGTTTTATATGAGCCAAAATCTCTCTACCAAATTTTATGTGGATCGGTTCATAATTGGCCCTACCCCCCATATAAGGTTCCCTTCAGAAAATGACTTTAACGCTCATTATTGGCGTAAAAATACGAGTATAGCGATGAAATTTGACATAAGTAAGTTTCATACGAGTAAAAATCTCTCCACTAAATTTCATGTGGATCAGTCCATAATTGCCCCTACCCCCCATATAAGGTCGCCTCCATAAAATTACTTTAACGCTCATTACTGGCTTAAAAATACGAATATAGCGATGAAATTTCACAGAAGTAAGTTTTATATGAGCCAAAATCTCCCTACCAAATTTTATGTGGATCGGTCCATAATTGGCCCTACCCCCCATAAAAGATCCCCTTCAGAAAATGACTTTAACGCTCATTATTGGCGTAAAAAGACGAGTATAGCGATGAAATTTGACATGAGTAAGTTTCATACGAGTAAAAATCTCTCCACAAAATTTCATGTGGAACGGTCCATAATTGCCCCTACTCCCCATATAAGGTCCCCTCCATAAAATTACTTTAACGCTCATTACTGGTTTAAAAATACGAATATAGCGATGAAATTTTACAGAAGTAAGTTTTATATGAGCCAAAATCTCTTTACCAAATTTTATGTGGATCGGTCCATAATTGGCCCTACCCCCCATATAAGGTCCTCTTTGGAAAATGACTATAATTCTGATTACTGGCTTAAACATACGAATATAGCGATGAAATTTGACATAGTTTCATGCAAGCCAATATCTCTCCACCAAACTGTATGTGTATCGGTCCGTAATTGATCCTACCCCCCATATAAGGTCCCCTCCATAAAATTACTTTAACGCTCATTACTGGCATAAAAATACGAGTATAGCGATGAAATTTCACAGAAGTAAGTTTTATATGACTTCTCTCTACCAAATTTTATGTGGATCGGTCCATAATTGCCCCTATCCGCCCATATAAGGTCCCCTTCTGAAAATGTCTTTAACGCTCATTATTGGCGTAAAAATACAAGTATAGCGAAGAAATTTGACAGAAATAAGTATCTTAGGAGCCAAAACCTTTATGTGGATCGGGCCTTAAATGACCCTATCCCGCATATAACGCTCATTACTGGCCTAAAAAGCGAGTAAGGCGATGAAATTCGATATAGTTTTGTATGAGCTAACATCTCTCTACAAAATTTTGTGGGGATCGGTCCATAATTGACTCTACCTTTCATTTAAGGTCCCCATCAGAAAATAACTCAAACGCTCATTACTGGCGTAAATGAAATTCGATGCAATTCGACATAAACTAATTGTTAGCTAAAATCTCTCTTAACCTTAACCCCGTATAAGGTCCCTTTAAGAAAATGACTTTAATGCTCATTACTGGCTAAAAAATACAAGTAGATCTATGAAATTTGAAATAAATAAACTGAAATCTTCCTACCGACTTTTGTGAGAATTGGTCCATATGTGTATATATAACCCTACTCCCTATATAAATTAACATATTTAATTCGAAAGAGCACTGTCAATAGTTAAACCCCCATTAATGGACCTCTTTCAAATATTACAATGATGTTCTCATTAATATCGATACATAATAATAAAATATTCAAAATATCAAAGTTTATTTATATGACAGTGATTTGATGGTGGGTATATAAGATTCGGCATAGCCGAATATAACACTCTTACTTGTTCATCTTGTTTTTGTTTTATCGCGGATAAATCATTAAGAATACCACGAAGAATCTAATAAAGAAAGTACTTGTGTACTTTGTACTACAACATACTACAGAAAAGTAGTGCAAAAGATGAATGACTCATTGATTATATTTAATTATATTTCTAACATGTAAAAAAAAACATTTACCAGTATGTACCGGTACAATAAGAATGAATAGTAATAGCCAATCTATTTATATTATATACAATGCAATTGTTTTATAAATATAATTATAACATCAACATTTACTAAGAAATAACCTAAAAAAAAGTTAATAAAAATTTCCTTTTGTAAGAATAAAAGAAAATTTGGATAAAAACAATTAGGGGTTTTCCAGACAAATTCTTGATTTTATTTTGGAGAAAATTTGTTTATTACAATTGTTGGTTATTTTTTAAAGTTTTAGATGATGTTTTCTTTAATTAGCTACTATAAAATACAAATTTTTACTGATCAGTTATGTTGGAAATATATGAGAAATAAAATAAATTTTTCAGCACATGTTTGTTTTTGTTTAGTTGTATATTATTTAATATTTCTTTTATTATTTAGTTATATCAATTTGTGTATAAAAAGGCCATATATAGTTTTCCATAATAAAAACAATTATACTTTTTTCAAAAAAAAAAAAAATTTTTTTTTACAACCAATCTTTGAGTTTGACCATAACAAGTAAAGTTTGACTAAATTTTGTTTTCTTTTCTTTTTATCAACAAGTTTTAAGGGTATAAAAGGCCACTTAAATTAAAAAAAAAAAATTAGACAAATTTTCAAAATGATCAATTAAGATGATGTTTTCGTTTTTCTTTTCTTGTTTGTTGGTTTTTTTGTATTAACAATATTTAAAAATGTTTGCTGTATAATAAGTGACTGGTGGATGATTTTTTCATTATTTTGGAAATATGGAAGAATCCGTTGTAAAGATGATAAATTGTTAAAAAGGATTTATAGTGATAACCAGACGGGTATTCAAATTTAGTCCCTCTGAAACCTCTAGTCATCTTTATAAGCTAATAACCTTAAAAGATTCCAGGGCCAAGAAGTGGGGCATGTTAAAAGTTTAGCGGATTTTTTGTTTGAATTTTATTTTAAAATGTAATCAGGAGAATTTTAAGTTTTAGGGTTTTATAAAGAGATAATTATCTAGATTTTGTACTTGTAATAGTTTTAAGCTAAGATTCCAAATATTTGTAACAATTAGAATTAACAAATACAAAACACTTTTTATATAAAATTTTAATGTTTTTACAACTAACGACAGTAAATTTTTTTTTAAATTTGTGTAATTTTTTTAAACTTGGTCCATTTAAAGATTTTTACAATTTAATTTTACAAAATCACACAAATTTTGTTTTAAAAAACCCAATTTCCAACATTTTAAATTGTAAATTTGCTTTGTACATAAACAAAAAAATCTCTATTTACCTTGAACCACTGGCCCCAAAACCCTGGAATTGTTTTAAAGTCATAATATAGACAATTTTGGAATTTGTCCCTTAATCTCTTAATCCTTTTTCTTGTTTTTTTTTTTTTTAATCCAAAATTTATCACCTTTACGTTTTTCTTGTATGTATAGTTGTTGTATTAGTTTATATGTGTAAAAAAATTGTCTAATAATCATCTAAATCAAATTCTTCATTATCCAATTCATCGAGCTGCATACTTTGGAAGTCGACCTTGTAACGCAAGATGCCACCAATACCACCGAAACCGCGCACAAATTGACTGCCCTCTTGGGACTTGTCGGTAATGATTTCTAGAGTAGCGCCAAACATTTTATAGTTATTGGCCAACCATTCGAGCAAGGGCTGCGATTCAATCAATTCCATTTCAACGCCCGTCTCCTTGTCGGTGAAGTGTGATTTGTCTTTTTCCTGTTCGGGCGTTAAATGCAAAATAGTAGGCGTCGCGGCATTGGCATGATTCTTCAATACATAACGTTGTATATCCAAATTTTCCCAACAGATGAGAATATCCACCGAACCCAATTCCAAGGCGCGCAATGTATCATCAACACCAAAACAATATTTGCCGGTATCTTGGGAAATCTCATCGAAATAGCGTCCAATCAATTTCTTTTCCTGTATAAACTTAACATTCTGCAAAGATTCCGCCGATAATTCGATGGCCTGGTTGAAACCGTTTTCACCGCCATACGACACATCAATGAGTTTAATAATCTTCGATTGCAAGCGAGGATCAAACATGTCGGACTGGCTCAGTTCAGTTTTGAAATCGGCACTACCGGCCAAAATGAGACCAGCAACATTGGGTTTGTCGTTTGTTATGAACAATTGCGTTGCCACTTCGGCTACTTTACGCACGTAATTGTGACGTTTTTCCATACGCAAACGTGCGAAACGCAAAGCGGACTGACCACCACGACCATGCTTTTTCGGCAGATCGACGGTAAATTTGTGCAACACTTCGCGTGTGTTGCCCTGTAGGGTACCAAACAAAGCACCATTACCGTCCATCACAATGAAGCCAAAACGATTGTCGTCAGCTAAAAGTGCCGTAAGTGCTTCGGTGTGGAACTTATTGTCGCACAAATACAATGACGTATTGATCGGTTTGAACGGCTCGAAATCGATATTAACTTTCTTTTCCTTACCCTCCTCGGTGACAATCGTACCGCAATAGATGACCAGACCATTTGGTGGCACTTTAGTGTACAATTTCAGACGCTGCTGTACCGAGGTGATCGCACCCAAAACTGACAGTCGATTGACACGCGACTTGATGTTTGAGGCTGTGCCAAATTCATCGGCCAACATTTTGCTTACACGAGATATTTGATCCTTGGGTGGAATGATTAATGAAATCATAGAGGTGCCATTGCCGCGTGCGATCTCCAGACTCTTGATGAGCTTCTTGATTTTCCAAATTTCGACATTACGATCAGCTGACGTTTCTTCTCCAGACATGGTTAAGCTGTTGCTTTTGTCCACTTGTCGTTTATAAAATAAAAAGAAATTTTATCAGTGTTGCCAATTGTTAAATTAAAAAAACTCATAACGATCGTAGTGATGCCAGAAGATATTTTTCCATTGATTCCCAATTTAGTGATGAAAATATCCAGGAATAGTGTGTAATGGATGAGAAATTAAAACTTTTTTGTGATTGATAAAGAATTGTAGTTTTAGTTACAGATTACGTAGAAAAATCTAAAAATAGCAAAATATATAAAGATGTTTTTAACGATTTGTGTTTACTGTGATACATTTTATAGAAAATATTTTTAAAGTTACAAATTTTTACTAATGAATGTTTCTATGACTATGATTAATAAATAGGTTGTATGCATAGACTCGCATACAACCTATTTATTAATCATATCATATTAATCATGTCTGGGTTGTGGGAATAAATAAATATATATTGGGAAAACTTACAGAGTGATGTCTATATATACAAAATATATTCCAGTATAATTTTATCCCGTATTATTAATAATTTATGAGTTATTTTCGATTAAGTAATTTACGCAAAGAGGACCCTATATGGAAGCTATGACCAATTAATGGCTGACCCGGAAAAACATTCACTGAACAATTTACGTATGTACAAAGCGTATTTATGTTAAATTTTGTCTCGAGTTATATCCGTTCTGAATTATATTCGTTCAATTTATTGAATTATATTCGTTCAATTGATTTTCGGAAGTGGACCTTATATCGGAGCGATAGTCAATTAAGGGCCGATCTAGGTTTTAATTTGTAATATTATTTCTATTGATATTAGATTTATATATTGGAAATTATGTGGTAATACCGATATTCTAGAGGAAGTTATTAACAGTAAATACATTTTCGGGGAGTATGTAAATTTTTATGGGAGCTATATGAACAAGGATCCACAATATATATATATATATATATATATATATATATATATATATATATATATATATATATTCCTTTGGTCGGATAATTATTTTGAAGAAATTACAAACGAAATGACACATTTATATATACTAGAGTTCGCCCAGCGGTCGAAATTCGACCAGAACTTATGCTGGAAAAAATGCATAAATATGCTAAAATAAAACCCTTTTTTATAGTTCAAATCTGCGGTAAAAAAATTACTTTATTGATATTATCAAAGTGTATAATTTGCTATTATTAATGTTTTCTTTTAGAAAATGTGATGGGTTTTTGGTAAAAGTCCCATCAGAAGTTTAAAACCTCAATTGTCAAAATTAGTTATAAAACTTGTTTTACAAAAGTATTTCAACTATTTTAAAAATAATAAATAACGAACATTTCTTCTATTGACTTATTATCCCCTACATTTTTACGCTACGTTCACAATGCTGGATTACTCTACTGTACACACCATTAAAGATATGTTAGCTGTTCAAAATACAGAGTGGAAATGTTCTAAATAATTTGTCAAAACAATAAAATTATTTAAAATAAATAATGTCTTATCTAATTATAAATAAATTTTATTTGGATGTCATTAGTAGTCCTTCCATCAAGTATATGCTGTATAAATTCTCCCTTATAACACTCGACAAAGACTTCAGCAGACCTACATTTATTAAATAAACGATAAATTGCTAAGTACGGTTAAACACTCTTTATCCCAAAAGACATGATTTATATTTAGCAGTTTCATCTAGCAGTTTTATCTATTTTTATATAGCATATAACCATCACCTATTCAACTTACAGTTTTCACTTTACACTACTATTTCCTAATTGGTTAGAATAACCCAAAAAAGAAGAATATCATCAAATCCTCGCTGTGCTAAACCTGCATATAAGCTTTTTACAGGCTTTTTTTATTACTTACTGACACTGAATCAATTCGTTAATCCATCATTTAAATCTTCCAAATCAATCAAAACTAATAATTATGTATCGCAATTAAGTATTTTATTTCATCGATTTTTTTCGTTAAACATAATCGAAAAGCATCGGCAGTGTAACGAACAATAAAAAGTTCACGTTAATAATTTTATAATTTAAAAATATTTCAATACATAACTTTTGACATTCTTATAGTTTTCCGATCTTTGTCTTTAAAATATTCTACAGTCGTTAAAAAGTTAGGGAATTGAAAATTCGTTAATGTAACCGATATTTGTCATTACTTTACGATATTACTGAATTCCGGTACTGATGTCCTACCAATACTTTTCCAGATCAAACACCAATATCAGTAAATTTTTTGGCATATCTTGAGGTGTCCCCAAGCATTATTTACACATGTTTTTATATTCCCAGTTCGTTGTTTCCTCAGGAAAGTCCTTCAATTTAATTATTTTGAAAAGTTTAAATAACGAAAAACCTTCAATCGAAAACTCTGAATATAAAACTGAAGTCCTACTTCTTATAAAAATATTCGATTTGGTAACAATCGTAACGATGTTATAACAAAATTGATCATTATCTCATTCACAATTTAGCACAAAAATATAAAACAATAAAATCCTATTTTCGCATTGCCTGAGCCTGTTTACATACTTATTTGTTTACAAAAATCTTATTAAAAACAACAAAATCAAAATATCATGCAAAATACAAAAAGAAAACAGCAACAGAGATGTTAAACGTTTCTGCACTCTCCTCTCTTTTTTCAAAAATCCATGTTGTTTACTTTTGTTTCTTGCTTTGTGTGTTTGTTTTTAATTTCAAGAATACGTACGTGTGACTATTGTTTCTATGTATTAGTAACTACTTTAAACGTTTATAGCTCCTAAAATTCTGAACCGATCTCATTAATATATATATTGTGCACATCTGTGAACAAATACCTTTAAAATGATATATTTTTTGCCAAGATCAGATGTATACTGTAAGAGTAAAAGGGGTCACAAAAAATCGTCTTGCCTATTAATTATATAGATAAAATCTTCGCTAAAATCTAAAGACTATAAAAACCTCTATCCCATACACTCCCAAACTGGGCACGTTGACTTTGTGTTTCTGGCATCTCTCTATACACAACTAAAGCACAGGGTTGATATTTTTGCCTCGTCCCCACTTTTATAGAATGGAATCCACACTTTCTATATTTTAGAGTTGTCGTACTTTTTTTGTGATCTTTAATACAAAATAATTGGTGAAAATCGCCTTAATTAATAAAAAATGTACCAGCATGTTCTGTGCTTTGTAATATGTTATTGTGTGTATAATATTTTTGTACTCCATTCGATTTTAATGTTGGATTTTGTTTTATATTTGTTATTTTTTTTTCGTTCTCCACTTATCTTTCGTAAACAAAAAAATGTAAGTGTTGCCCCATTTGTATGATTTGTTTGTTAAGTTGGTAAAATGTAAAACAGTGGGATATAATATATTATAATCAATATTACAAGGTCGAAAGACCCTAACTTTCCTTGTACATATTTAATTATTAATATAAAATATTCGTAAAATCAATTTCTACTCTTAATCTTCATATCTTTTAATATTAATGCCTTTGGAGTTTTATGGCGATTTTTAGTAATTTTTAAAATTCACATTCGTGATAAAGTACACAACACGCGTTGAGGCGGCAACGCGTTTCACGCTTTTCAAACTTTTCGCGCTTTAAGCTGGAGGTCCACACCACGCGTTCTACGCTTCTTCGCATTCTACGCGGCTGTCAAAAAAGTTGAATCAATGTTGTTGTGTGCTAGAAGTTACAAGCACAAAAGCGTAGGATGCCTAGACGCGTAGAATGCTTAAAGTATATCTACTTTCTACTTTTGTAAGCGTCATAAGCGACGCACGAATATTTCAGCTGATTTTGACAATTTATATTCTATTTTTAATGTGTATTTATCAATTTTAATAACTAAAACGAGTTAAATTGTGGAAATATAAACAAAAAACTTAAAAAAAAACGCGAAGTTCTTTGTAAATCAGAGACTGAAAATAACTGGGCCACATAACCAAAGTGAATGAATTGTGATTTATTTTTATACCCTCTACCACCATCAGTGGTGATAGATAGGTATATATAAGTTTGTCATTCCGTGTGTAACACCAAAAAATATTCATCTGAGACCCAACAAAGTATATATATTCTGGGTCCTTATGAAATTCTGAGTCGATTTAGCTATGTCCGTCTGTCTGTCTGTCTGGTTTAAACACGCTCTCGTTAAAACTAAGCAAATCAAATCAACCAAATTCACTGAGAATATTCATTGTTTTCCTAAGCAGTTTGGTATTGAAAATCAGCAAAATCGGTTCACAACGTAAAAAGTTATGAGTATAAATTTCAGACTACCTCAAAAAAATTAAGTTTTTTTCCTTAATTTTTGAGTAGTTTTCTCAGAAACTACCAAAGATAATTCGACAAATTTTGTCACAGATTATTTTTTCCATCTATAGATTAATTATGTTTAAAATTGTAACAATCCATCTAAAATTTCCCATAGCCCCCATACAAAGGTACATATTCCCGGAAATTAATTTATCGTTAATAACTTCCTCAAATATATCGGTATCAACACAAAATGTTGTACATATTGACATTATATGAACAGGAATCAAAACTACCGACTTAGATCTGTATCGGTCCACAATTGGTCATAGCTCCCATATAAGGTCCACTTTCGAAAATCACTTAAATGAACATATTTTATTGATAAATAAAGCTATCGGGATAAAATTCGACATGAATAAGTTTTGTATATACATAAATCATTCTACGGAATTTTTTTTCGGATCGGTCCATAATTGGTCATAGCTCCCATATAAGGTTCACATCCGAAAATCACTTAAACGAGCATAGTTCATAGATAAATAAAGCTATCTGGATAAAATTCGACATGAATGTGTTTTGGTCGGTCCATAATAAACAAGCTTAATTCATTGATAAATAAAGCTATCGGGATAAAATTCGATATGAATATGTTTTGTGTATAAATATTAATTACTTTACGAATTTTTTTTTTTCGGATCGGTCCATAATTGGTCATAGCTCACATATAAGGTCCACATCTGAAAATCATAAGGTCCAAATCCGAGCATAATTCATTGATAA